AAAACTTTTTTTTTAAAACAAGGTCTTGCTGCAGCCTCAACTTCCCAGGCTCAAGCAATCCTCCTACCTCAGCCTCCCAAGTAGCTGGACTATAGACACATGCCACCACACATGGCAAATTTTTATAGTTTTTGTAGAGATGGGGTCTCGCCATGTTGCCCAGGCTGATCTTGAACTCCTGGATTCAAGTGATCTGCCTGCCTTGGCCTCACAAAGTGCTGGGATTATAGGCGTGAGCCACTGCACCTGGCCAAAATTAAATATTTTTTAATAAAGAGGGAAAATGCCATAAAAAATTCTACTGTATATCATTCAAGAAATGATCATGGACACTGGCTACTCAGCCCATAGTTGGTCTATCTTCCATATCAGAGAGTAACTAGCCATCCTGCTAGGTACTCCCTAAAGACGACACCTTCTGGGTCTTCTTGTAGGCCTTTCTAGCAGATACCCCAACAGTGGTAACAACTATGTGAGCTTCTGTCCCTAAGGTTCTCTATAAGAACACTGGAACCCTACAGACAACTTCTTACAGGCCAGCGGATCCACGCCAATGGTTGCACACATGTCCTGGAACTGCACACGGAACTCAGGATTCTTCCGGATCTCCTGCTTGTGCTTGCTGGCAAATTCCTCCAGGTTGGTCTTGAACATGTCCAACTGCTTTGACATCTGTTGGATGGACAGGGAGTGGTGAAGGGCAGCCCAGTCAGATGATAATCAGATGCCAAAAATAGGTGCCCAGTCCTGTGGCATGGCAAAGGCTGAAATAACCAGTCTGTCTCAGCCTACCATTATGCTGTTTACCATCTATCTCTCTTTTTATCCCTGCCTCTCCTTCACAGTTCTGTTGTCAGCAGAAATGGGATGCTGTACTGTTTTCTCACTTCCAAACTAGACAATTTTTTGTGCGTTCCTGTTCTAAAATCAGGATGCATTTAATAATCAAGGTGCACATATATACAACCAAATACATGCACAAAAAAAGAACAATGTGTTATATATAATGTGGTATTCCTTTTCTTTTACCCAGAAAAACTTATTAATTTGAAGATGTACCTAATAATTCATTGTATCTTAGAAATGAGGGAATGCAGTGTTCACCCATTAGAAAATCTTTACCCCCCGATGGAAAGGGTGGACGGGAAAAAAATGAAGTGTCACATGAATCTGTTTAACCTATGAGTCTGGCCAGGAATGGTGGCTCACACCTGTAATCCCACAATGGATCACTTGAGCCCAGGAGTTTGAGTTTAGCTGGGGCAACATAGCAAGACTCTGTCTCAATCAATCAACATATATATATATTTTTTTAAATTTTTTTTTGAGACAGAGTCTTGCTTTGTTGCCCAGGCTGGAGTGCACTGGCACAATCTCAGCTCACTGCAACCTTAGCCTCCCAGTTCAAGCAATTCTCTTGCCTCAGCCTCCTGAGTAGTTGGGACGACAGGCACACACCACCACACCTGGCTAATTTTTGTATTTTTAGTGAAGACAGGATTTCATCATGTGGCCCAGGCTGGTCTCGAATTCCTGACTTCAAGCAATCCATCTGCCTCAGCCTCCCAAAGTGCTGGGATTACAGATGTGAGCCACCGCGCAGGGTCAATCAATCAATCAACCAACCAATATAAATTTAAAAAAAAAACTTTTGAGTTATGAACCTCCCTGGGGATCAATTCCAGATAAAGAACTACTCTGGGACTTTAATTTGCCAGATTGCATTTCATGTTAAATACAAAAGACTTGGGGATTTTCTGACTTTGTATTACCCCTTCTCTTTTCCTAATTAACAAGGACCATCTTCTATTCCACCAAGAATAAGCACTCCTAGCCCAATATTTCTCACATAAAACTGTTAGAAACCTCCACATTCTTTTAATCACAATTTTCGGTTGATTCCTGCAGTCATCTCCCCTGTGAGTGGGAGCTTTTGAAGAGCACAGCCTGGGCCTACTATTTTTCTTCAGCTCACAGCCCCGTTTTCCTGTTTAACAGCTTCCTCCTCTTCTTCCCCAATCACAATCACTGCGTAAACTTGGAGCATGTAAAGAGCAGGGAAGGGCTGGAAAAGAAAACTGCACAGGAGCTGCACCCCCATCACTCACACACTGTCCTGGTGTGTGCCTAGATGTCATGATGGTGGTGTGGGTGCCACAAGTTAGGCAATATTTTCATTTTATTCTGAAGTATTTAAAATGAAAAGCCCCAGAGGACGTAAATCAATAACAGCTCTACCACTTACTACCCATATAACCTTGGATATATTACTTAACACCCCAGTGTCCCAATTTCTTTTTCTTTTCTTTTTTTTTTTTTTGAGACAGAGTTTTGCTCTTGTCGCCCAGGCTGGAGAGCAGTGGCGCAATCTCGGCTCACTGCAACCTCCACCTCCCAGGTTCAAGACATTCTTCTGCCTCAGCCTCCCAAGTAGCTGGGATTACAGGCATGCGCTACTATGCCCGGCTAATTTTATATTTTTAGTAGAGATGGGGTTTCTCCATGTTGGTCAGGCTGGTCTCGAACTCCTTACCTCAGGTGATCCGCCCACCTCGGCCTCCCAAAGTGCTGAGATTACAGGCGTGAGCCACCAG